TGTCACTGCTAATTTATCACAGTAATGACCAGGTTTGCAATGAGATTTGGCGCACACAAAGTGGTTTTAGAAATTATACTATAATATGGATATTAAGGAATACATTTAAATGAAAGTTTTTGTTCTCGGAGTTCAGCTTTACATCTACCCCATGATAGGGACAGCAAACTTGTGCTATGTTAAACTATTAAGCATATAGGGAAAGGCCTGTAGTCCTTTAGACTGTGTATATCCCATGGCTTTAGTTGCATCCTGGCCACCTTAGACATTTTTCAGCAAAGACATTTTCATTATAGTTTGCCCTTTCACAGCAACGGCCTGTCATGTACCTCCAAGCTTTTACGCCACAAATACATCAATAATACATGGTTAACATAACCTTCTTCTTTAGACATAAATAAATCAGAATTTCTTCTCATGCTCCAAATGCAAATGCCAAGCGCTTCTGTGTAAGCTGTGTTCACCATTTTGTTACATAATGAAACACACTTTTTATTACAGCTCAGCAAACAATTTCTTTCTATTTCATATTCATGTACCACAGTACAACAGAAATAAAGACAAGGTGGGGTGCAATAAATAAACGAACAAGTGTACTTTATAAAACTTGCAACAGAAATGATCTCGGGAGATCTTTTAACTAATTAGTAGCACAATTTGTCACTAGCATAATCAAGTACCATTACAGACTGTATATTTAAAAAAAGATGGCAAGCTCGGTTAAAAAATGGTGCTACATGCATAATGAATTGAATATAGACGTCTTTTATATCAAGTGCTCTTCAAACTTCCATGAACTTCTGCAGGTTTTCACAATTTCATTCATGGGTATGCCTATTAGCAACAGTTTAAAACACACAATGTGTAAAATGGGAAACTTACAATACCTCATTAAAAAAATGATGAAGTGTATCAGACTGTATGTGTTATTCCATAGCAGACAACTAGATTCCCCTTTTGCAGCATGGGGTAATGAAGGAGAATCTATCCTGCTACCGTAGCACACAAGAAGCTTGTACAAGTCTTCTCTAAAAGGGAATCTGTACTGAGGTAAATATGGTGGCTGCCACTGCCAACCTTCCTTCTAACCTTCTCAACGCCTGGCTGTCTCTGTCTTCAAATGTGTTTTAGTCATTGATTCGGATCAAGTATGCAGAGTAGGAAATCCACGTACAGTCAAAACTCTAAGTCTGCATACATGGTTTATTCAAAGTATGTAAGACTAGCGATGAGTTTGGGTGCAGTCTGAACAAGGAAGGAAACTGTCAGTGTCGGCCCAATCAGCTGCAAACAAGGCATTCCCTGCCTGGCAGCAGCAGATAGACATAGGGATGGGAAGCTGTTAACATTAATAACCTTTATGGCAACATCACCATTTAAGGTCAATGTCATTGCCCAAATATGTTGTCATCATATAAGGTCAATGATGTCCCCAGTATCCCACCCCTTTGTTTACCTGTAGCAGGGAATGCCCTGGCTTCTGCTGATTGGGCCGGCACTGACAGCTTCCTTTCATGTTTGGATGAACTGAAGTTTGGACTGACCCCAAGCTCATCCCTAGACAAGACATTATCCAGATTGAAAGCCATTTTCAGAAGAATATATCAACAATGGTAGCTTACATATTCACTCAGTACAAGTTTCTCTTTAAACATGTCTGTTATTGTGCAGTTGTTTTTTTGGCAAATGCATGGCTATGCAGCCAGCATCAACTCAAGCGAATGCATGGACAAAGCCAACTTGCATATTTTAATATTTTTTTGGATTCTAAATTCAAAAGATAAACTAAAGATGAACATGATGCAAACAGCTAAATACGCATATGGTAGCTGCCAATCAATTTACATTTCTGTCTAGCTAGCCCTGAGCTTTACACAGCCCTACCAGACAGCAGAGCCAGGTTGGTGATCTGACTATTCTCTACTGCAGTTAAGCAAAACAACTAGGTAACCTACTGGGCTACCCTGTGATTGGACAATTAAAAAATTACTTCAGGACCGTGATCAGTAATGCTTTTGTTCTGTCTGCTCCAGTCAGAATGTTCCATGTCATATGCACTACAGTACAACTGAATGGCTTCTAGCTCTGCCCCCCTCTCTAGATTTGGTGCTGCTGTACAGGGGATTACAAGAGTCTCATATTAGGTGTTTAACCCTAGCAGCAACCTTAAGGGGGGGCTTCAGTGACCCAGGTTGCTAAGAGTTCTTAGCAACCTGTGATGCTCTGTCCAGCTTCCCGCCTAGCTCCCTGATGTCACAAGTCACCAGGAGCTGAGTGAGATGCGCTGGCTGGTGTCCCGCTGAGCTCCTAGCAACCTGTAATGTCAGTGAGCTAGGTGGGACACCAGACAGAGCCGCTGACAGCCTGATCCTCCCCACATGGGGGAACGATTATACACTGGCAATAAATATCATCCCCCCAGAATGACCATTAGCTGATAGCACATCTCCCCTATGGCCCCACACCTGGAACAGGGACCGCCCTGATGACGGGTAAGCATTTCTGAATGAAGCTGGTAAATTTGCTTTGTAAATGTATCAGTGTTTTTTGTATTGGTGTGAGTATATGTTTAATAAGTACCTGTTAATCCTACCACTATGAGGCCTTCTTGAATCAGGTGACCACCAGGTCCCCATACTGCAGGACACTGGTCACCCTGTACTCTTCTCCAATCCACTGCAGTCAATGCTCCCCACAGGCTGATTGACAGCTGCTCCAACCATTGAACAGCTGAAAATGGGATTTCCTGTGAATGTTTTTTTTGCTGGAGAGCTTAGCCTGTTACAGGAAGAGGGAACAAATGATCTACTGGTAGGATCAACAGGTAATATAACTATGTTGCAATTGGAAGTCACAAAAACAAAAACTGCTGCATGTTGCTACCATTTTTGGCATATGCCAACAGAAATGGTGTGCCTGATTGGTAATCTCGAATGGGCTGGACAATGTCATCTATTTAATACTATTACACACTTTAAAGTTGAACTCCGGGATAAGCAAATATTGCTTAAATTCAACAGTCATATGTATTCTTATTTCAAATCTTGGTGTGTTTTGCGTATTTCTTCCAGATCTGTCCAATAATCCAGTGTGAAACTTTACCTCCGTACAGGAGCTTCCTGTAATACAGGCCAGTCACTGGCCCTCTTCTTCTTCTTGTGCAGGGTGACTGGTCTTGTCTCCGCCCCCTCCTGTAGTTTTCTACAGACAGCCTGTAGTGTGGCGGGGCCTACTGGGTCTATGTACAGCACAGTGATCATGTCAACACCACCTTTACAATGTGAAATCTAGGTTTGTAAAGGCGTTTGGTGCACACAAAGTGGGTTGATATCCTTTGTGACTACTGAAAATCTTCCATAGCAGTGGTATTCAGATCTGATCCTCAAGGCCACTTTAACAGTTCTTCTTACAGAATCACCCTAGTGTTTTCTTACCCAGGAAGATGTTAAATTGCCTATACAAGTACTAACATGTTTACCACATATACCCTAAAAACATGAAAACCTATTCAGACTAGGGGCCACATTTATAAAAGCAGTGAATGTGAAGTTTACTAAACATTCTCTGTAGGTGTATCTAGTGTAAATGTTTTAAATGACAGTGAATGTTTGGTGAATGTCACAGTTGTAGAAATATGACAGTAGCATTTATGATGGAGCATGCTATAGCAAAATGAACAAATTACATGACAAATGATGTTTTAAAAATCTAAAGTACATGCTTGTAAGGTATTGTTCAGTGCTAGCATTGTCTGTTTCATAAACTGCATTTTACAAATGTACACTTTTTACATAATGATGACTGAGCTACTTAGCAACTTAGTTCAGTTTTACAAACAATAATGTAAAAACTTCTCCTTGTACTATTTCTATCTAAATGAACTATACAACACAGCTCTGTTGTAGTCTTAAAAGAAAAATAATCCTCCATGGAAAAAATTTACACTATTTATGGCTTCCCCATGGCTCTAACAGTCATAAATATGAGAAAGCATTTCAAAAATCTGGAGCCTCTCTTCTGCATGCTGAATATGTTAATGGTTGAAGCAGGCATGGTCACAGTATGGCTCCAACGGAGTCCCTGTATCTTAAAGTGTGGGCATTGACAACAATGTAATCCTGGTTTAAATTTGCATATTACCAGCTTTCCCAGCTTCAGAAAATGTTTTAATATTTTATATTTTTAGATCTAAACAGCTCAATGATTAGTACCCATAAATTATATCATAGTTATTCTTAAAGCAAGCAAATATCTGCATTATTTCACTACAGTAATTTGTAGACATATTTGCTATACTTTGCCTGTCCATCTATGTTTGGAATAGCAAACTAAATACAAAAGGAGTATGGTTAAATGAAGGAAAGACCAACCCATTCAGCAAAAGGCAGTGCAAGATTCTCTCTTTGTTTCTGCATTGAGAACAAATGGTGACCTTGCATCCACCTGTTACCTAGAATATACAGTAATAATAATTTTCAGTCATATGACACATGTGGAAAAACATGCCAGCACAATACTAGGGATTATAAGGCTTTAGGACAGCTCATTTATGCCGGCTCTTCTCGACAGGCCAGAGGTTTAAGATCTGGCTAAAAAGCAAGCAATTTGCATTGTTCTATAATTGCACTAAATGATTGGTGGGTTGCAACATTGCTTGAAAGCTTAACCTCTCTGTAGCCATTGCAGGCCTGTTCAAAGCTGATTATGAGAAATATACTGTATTATAACGTGGATTTATGCTTAACAGAAATAAAACAGTGCCAAGAGCCAGCTTGGTTCTCTACTTACACTAACATTTGTTTTACCATACAAAATACACAAAGTCAAAATATAATTTACATCAATATAAAAAACTGTTTAAAAAGGGCAATACATCTTCACAGGGATTCAGCACAGCTGACAGTATTGGCTATTCAATTTGAATGCCCATATAGTGATATACTGTATATCCAACCGCAATCATGCACTAAAAATATCAGAAAAATATTGCATATCCCTGACTATACCCAAACCACTGTGTTCAAATCAAATCCCGGGTACACAGTGTCATCTTGTCTCTGGTCATTTTTGAAATATGTTTTAATCATTGCTATACTTTTTCTACTAGTTTTGCCTGGTTTATCAGCTTTGACTTTAATGTCAGTTTGTGATGGGAAATAAAATACACTTTTTTGTTTACTGGCTTTCTTACTCCTTTTAGATATCTGAGATGCTTGATCCTCGATATGTAGCCAACCTGGCTTCTCTTTGAGAAGTTTATCCCTGTCCGGCCGTACGCTTCTTAGGAACTTTTTGAAAAAATTGGCTGTAAGGGAGAACTTTTTGCAGAGCTCTTGAGATCTACTGCAATTAAGTAAGCTTTCATTTTTTTCTCCTTTCTTTTCCATCTCAGGCAAATCTAGCCAGTTTCCAACGAGATCAGCAAATATGTTGTCACCCAAGACAAGAGGCTGTCTGTTTCGACTCTGTGACATAAGAGAAGATGTCCAGTCATTTGTGTCATCATGTACAGATTCATCCATGCATTGCTCTTTTCCAAAATACGAAGAGGTGATGCTGCTCAAATGGTGGCTCTGAAGGACAGCACCTGGTGCTTGTGGTTCAAGTGTGGTACAAGTCTCTACTGGGGGCAAGAGAGAAGATGATGCACATGTAATTTCAGTCTGCCTTTCTCTTGCAGAAAATACCTGATGACCTAATTTTGGGCCTGGCACAGAGACAAAGTTGAGTGAGCTGTCAGCCAACGAGCTGTTGTCTGGATATCTCCCACCTGCCAATGGCTTCTCAGCTTGTTTGTTGGATTGATGCCTGACCTCAGAGGCTTCTCTTACACTCTGATAACACTGATTTGCTCTCATACTTTGAAGATGGTTCTGTTCCCCTGAAATTTCCAGCTGTTCAAGAGCTGCCTGGACCTGGAGGAGTTTCAGTTCCTGGAGTGCTCCCATCATACAATTCATCTGCTCTTGCAAACCGTCTCCAAATTCTCTCATTGACAGCTGTGAAAAGGAACATTAGAGATCTAGTTACATCAAGGCAGATAGGGCAGAGTTAAAAATACATGCAACAGTATAAAGACTAAAAGGCTAAATTTGGGTACATATGATAAAATTCTGTATGTGAACAGACTCCAAGGTCAGATAAGGAATATAGAGAAATGCACAAATACAACTACACATTTTTTTTTTGTTAGGTGTTATGCATTTACGTTATAGAATTTCAACTCAATGAGGAAATAAAACACAATTTTAGTGTACATACGTCACAATCTCAAAATATGTATGTTATCGATTATTTTAAAAGGATGCTTTAGTCACTTAAGTCCCAGAGTCATCCCTCTAAATCATACAGCATCCTTTCCTTCGTGAGACATGTTGGTTCAACATTTTATAACTATAAGGCGCATATTTCCAAAGCAGTAAATGTGACAGTAAAGCAGCAAAGCAGTAAATTTAACTTAAAGTGACACTAAAGTCAAGTTAAAAGAGAACTATGGGGTAAGTGTTTTTCTCGATAGTTCTCTTTAGGGTCATGGGAGGACATATACTAACATCCTCCCGTGACCCAAAACTCAGTATATCGCGGGCAATACTGTAAAAGCTGCAGCGGGGACAGATCTTGACATTAATGTCGAGATCCACTCAGCTGTGTGAGTGACAGCTGGCTCTGCCTATCTAGAGGCAGAGCCAACTGTGCCCGTCCCCTCCCTGCGGGAGGCATGACTGACAGTCACCGCTAACTGCAGGGAGATGATCGGGAAGTGAGCGATCGGAGGGGGGGGGGGGGAATCCCTGCGGGGAGCGGTGATTGACAGTCAACGATCACTGCAGGGAGACGATCGGGAAGTGAGCAAATTGGTGCATGTTTCTGCTCACTTCCAGATCGATAGAGCCGAACTGTGACAGCTTCTTTGTCACAGGTCGGCTCTAACTATGAGGATGAGTGGAAATCGCTCACCTCATAGATCTCCTTTAAATTTTAAAAATGAATTCAAGTACCCTAACTATTAACAACACTGGACCTTATTTGTGCATCACACAGCTGTAGATCCTCAAATCATTTCTGAATTCAGGCTCACACTGCCCTTCCTTCTGGAGGGTGTATACTTTTGTTCCCCATGGTTTCTGTATGTGTTGTAAAGTAGCTACTGCCCTAAACTCACTCCTGTGACGGACTACAATTTCCTGTTTAGTTTACTAATTTGTATTGAGATTGTAGTCCATAACGGGAGCGAGCTTGGAGCAGTGGCTACTTTACAACACACGCAGGTATCATGGGGAACAAAAGTAGCCACCCTCCAGAGGAAAGGACAGTGTCAGTGCGAATTCAGAGATGATTTGGGGATCTACAGCTAAATGATACACAAATAAGATACATTTTTGTTAATAGGGTACTTTAATTAATTTTTAAGATTTAACTCCTGAGTTTAGTGTCATTTTAATTGATTATTAACCAACTGTGAATGTTTGGTGAATGTCACATTAACTTCTTCATAAATATGCCTTATAGTGTATTTTTTGTACTGTATACTGACACATTTTTTCAGGAAGTTAAAAAACTGTTTAGCATCCGATTTCAAAACACACATTCAAACTTCATAGGTTTTATTTAAGAAGAACAAAGAGATCTAATTAAACAAAATGATACATTTTCTGTAATTTATAAATAATTAGCACAGATCCAATTTATTAACCCCCCCAAAAAACTGACAATATTTTCTGATTACAAGGATATTGCAATTTATATGTAACATGGAACAAGTGGTTGATGCTCATGCAATAAGTGAAAATGTCATCGAGATCATCCAACATAAGTCCTGTGGATAATGGGATGGTTGGATAATTTGTACTTATTCCTTTATTTTCTTTTATCTTTAAAAAAAACAAAAAAAACATTTCCTTAGGAGGTGACTGAAATGTCCTCTTTAACCACATCCTGCAAACACTTTGTTACATTATAGCACAGAGCACATTTATTGGGTGTTCTGTAGCAGGACTGAAGACCCAGGAGATGATTGATTAAGCTCTTTGAGTTAATGACAGCCAATTTAGTACTAACAACTGGCAGTTCCAGCACCCCCTGGGATCTGCCAAAGCAGATGAGATGGGGTGCCATTTTAAAACACATGTAATTGCAGTATCATTTTAAAATAGTGCCCGAGACACAATTGACTAAGGGAGTGAACACTTATCCCCCCTAATTTTCTATCCAATCATTTAAGTATTATTGGGTAGAAAGTTATTTTCTTGGTAGGGTTGAATTGTGTACAGCTTAATTCAAATGAAACAATGTTAAATGAATGTTCTGGCGAATCAATAATTTACAAATGAAATCTACCACCTACAGTAAGAACATTAATATTTCCACAGTATAAAGTATAAAATAAATTTAAAGACCGTATATAACATGTACATTGCAGAATGTTCAGAGCGCCCTTAATTACAAATACACTTTTCTATTAGCCTGTGCACAAAAAAGCCCTTTTCTTATGGCTTTACCCACGCACAGTTTTACTAAAGGTGTAGGGAAAGCTGGAGGGAGCAGCAATGCAGTCCAAAAGAAAAGTCTTTAAGTAGAGTAGGATATATTATTTAGGATGACAAGAATGGCTAATTTCAAAAAAGCAAAGTGCAATATTGAATACACTGTTTGCCATGCAGCTTCTTTGAGTTATGGTATTTGACAGCCCACTGTCCTATACCTTTATTCTGCCTTTTAAAGAAAAATGTGCTACAAAAGAGTATATGTTGGATGTTCCTACTCATCATGTTATTCAGAGAGGCAACACAAGGAGCAAAAATTATGTAGAAAATGCAGTAACCTGTAGTAAACAATAGCAGCAGCACCTCAGCAATTGAACATCTGGGTTAACAGCAGCGCCCTGTGCTTCTCTTAGCCAACTCAATATAAGAAGCCAAATGTGAGTCATAACAAACTGATCCTAATTTAAAAGACACCTTTTAACATAAAAACAAAGTTTTGCCTTATCCTATGGTGTACTTGAAAACTTCCAATGCAGGTGTGGACAAATGAATATGCAATTCAGGAGCCAGTCTGTCCAATCCAGAAGACAGCAGGATTATTTTAGGATTTAGCTCCATGCACAACAATTAGAGTAGACCTCAAAAGTTAAAGTGACACTGAACACAAGAGTTACATCATAAAAATTAATTCAAGTACCCTATTAACAAAAATGTTGTTTGTCTTATTTGTTTATAATCTTGTTTGTGTATCATTCAGCTGTTGATCCTCAAATCATCATCATCTACTTTGGTTCCCCATGTTGTAAAGTAGCCACCACTCCAAGCTCGCTCCTGTGATGGACTACAATGTCAATATAAATTAGTAAACTAAATGTAAGATTGTAGTCCATCACAGGAGAGAGCTTGGAGCGGTGGCTACTTTACAACACACAAGGACCATGGGGAAAACAAGTAGCCACCTTCCAGAAGGAAGGACAGTGTCAGCACCAATACAGAGATGATTTGAGGATCTACAGCTGAGTGATACACAAATAAGATACATTTTTGTTAATAGTTAGGGAACTTGAATGTATTTTTAAGATTGAACTCCTGAGTTTAGTGTTACTTTAAGGAGCATTGGCTACCTGGCTCCTGGGATTTGTCCAGCCCTGTTCTCATTTGTCCTGTGACTAAAGTGCTGTGACTATTTCACGTGAATTTAGAAACCAAAGAGGAAGTTTAGTCAGAGACAGTGGAAGATGGGTTCATCTTAGGGCTGTACTACCAACCAGAAATTTGGTGACTGATATTTTCTTTTTGCAGACTTAACAGACTTGGTGGATCAAATTCTCTGAGAACTGCAAGTAGAGTGGCATTAAGATGGCAAAAGACAAAAATTGGACCGGACTGTAAAAAAAAAAGAAGAAAATTGCCAGTTTATAACTACCTCCTGCAAACCAATAGCAAAAACATATATCATTTTACACTGATGACATGTGATTACATTGGGATTTCAGCATCTGGAGTTTCCATCTTAATGCTTATTTCTGCTTGGGGACAGTTTCCAGCACAGATGAAGAGTGCAAATGTTCTGCAATTGTGCAGAGGTATCATATAGCTGACTTGTTAGTAGGCTTTCTAATGTATAATATTACAGAAGTAACAGCTTTGCAGTTTCATTCCTTCCTTCCTATCATTCCTCTGTGCTCATTTGTGATTGGGTATCAAGTTTCTAACCTCAGATGTGATGATGCATGATCATCAATACACCATGACAGCTGCCTTTGGTTTTTACTCTTTCCATTAAAAGTCTTTGGTTTTGGCATCCTGCTAAGGTTTGAATCATCTTAGCCTTCCTCCCACTTTGACATTCTTCATTCACACGCAAAGAGGCACTCAGCATTAAATGAATTAACCTTTTACAGTCATGAACATACAGAGCTGCGTTGATGTCTGTATGAGGCATCTTATTGTAGGTCAGGCTTCACTGTGTATTACTCTATAACCAGGCAGAATATAGTATCTTATGCTGTGTCACAAGATAACATCTTCTATAAAACATCCACAAAAGAAAAACGGGTGTTTCTCATAGTGAGTACTTGTATTAAACAAATACATGTTTTTTTTAATGTTTTGTCAATGTAAAAAAGTTGTTAGCATTACAATGTGCATGAAGTATAATAAATAATATAGGATTAAAAGCAGATAAAGTAAAACAGCTGCCAAGCTGTAAAACTATGAAAAGGTGAATCACCTGACAATTTATTAGTAAAGTACACACATGCACATAACAATTGCTGTTTTGCAAAGGCATTTAAAGCCCATTGGCCATTTACACCTTTGAAGATACTTTAAAAAAATGTATAAGAAGTAAATGTATAAGAACTTAGAAACGTACCTTTGTTCAGTTGTCCTCCCCATCTCCTCGTGGCTGCAGCCCACAGTGTGCAAACTACAATTTTCTTCCAGAAAAATGACATTCCCTGCAATGCTGGACTTGGTGGAAGTCCACTAGGGAACCAAAGCAGATCCTAGCA